CGAGGTTCAACTCTCCATCCGGTAAGGTATTCCATAATTGTATCAATGCTCACTTACTTAAATGAATTAACCGAAAGGCGGCAGGAAGGCGACAAGGCACGAGGGAAAACGGCGGGGAAGTGGTTGAAAAAAACTTTTTCTTTTTTGAAAGAGCATCGGGTGTATAGGAAAATTCCTATACACGTGTAGGGATAATCCCACACACACATAGTACATATCCTACACAGATGTATAGGAAAATTCCTATACTTTGAATGGTAAGAATACTAACGTGTATGGTAGAATTACCACACGCCTGTATGGGAAAATTCCTATACATGTATATGTGAATTGCTGCAGATACATTTATAGGAAATCTACCATAGAAATTTTTTACAGTGTACACAAAGGTGGGGCCCGATGGTGGGCCGGCCGGCCGCCGGCGCCGAGCTTTTCGGCCCTCTCATTCCCAGATAACATAACTGAGCTCGGAGAAGGGGGGAGGGGGGAAAAGGAAGCCGTACACAATACACATGGTGCGTGCGTGTGTGAGTGTGTGACTGGCGAACGGTATTTCATAATAGATCATGACGGTGAATGGCACAACAATATACCACCAATTCCAGTCCAAGTAAAAGCTCAAAAGTGTGCTACAAAACGAAACGCAAGTAGTCGGACATCGTCTCGCCAGTATTGTTGATGTCTCTGCTATATATTTTTCTACTTAAGGAAAAATTATAACGACACCTTGGAATGTTTAGAGGTGGGCGATGAGTTGAGTAAATGCATAAATTATGGAACATGGCCTTTGCCTTACCTTGCTAGACGGCCTTCCTGCAGCGAAAGATGACGTCGTATGATCTGCCTTCCCCTGGAACACACGAGAAACAAGCAAAGCGAATTGAGCACGAGGATTGAAACAGCATCATGTACTCCATCAGGGAGATGAGGCGGATATAAAGAAGAACACACAGAGCGGACGATCAGAAGAAATGAGGCGTGCTTTGCGAGCAGAGCAGGGGAGGGGTGGGAGTCGACAGATACAGTGTACCCGTATCTGCACGTTGCCAGCTTCACACACACACGAGCCCGACGTGTTCCCCCGAGAAAAGTGACGGGAGGGGAGGAGAGGGGAGCGGAAGAGACGCGGGAGGCGAGGCGAGGCGTGGGCGTGGGGGCCACTTGGTGCGGTCTCCACGTACGCGTCGACAAGTCCGCCTCCCGCCCGCCTCATAACCCCCCTCGTAACTCCAACTCTTTGTGCACCTTGAGCTGCGCTAGTTCCTTAATGGGATTACAAAATGAATTAGAGTGCCGGGGCAAAGGAGGAAGCAGGGTGAGAGAAAGGGAGGAAGACAGAGAGAGAAAGAGAGAGAGAGAGAGAGAGAGAGAGAGAGAGAGAGAGAGAGAGAGAGAGCTTTCGGGGAGAGCAGGTCGGGCTGCACGCGCAAAGGTACAATTTTCTGTTGCAGAAAAAAAAAGTCGCAAGGGGGATTCCATTTCTAACCATCTTGCCTTATTAAGCAGTAAGGTAGGTCGGTGGCGCTTTCCATCCGTGCAAGGCTTTGTTCGAAGCACGAGGACACACACACACACACACACACACACACACACACACACACACAATACAGACAGAAACACACACGGCAAACAGATCGATTTGGAAACATGTCGACCCACAGCGATGAGTACACTGAACCTAGTCATACTAGCGACCAACCCAATCAAGGAGAGAGGGGTGAGAAGGAGAGGGAGAGACAGAGACAGAGAGAGAAGAGAAAGAGTTGAGCGCGCACGCGAGGGAGAAGAGAGAAAGCATCCGATAGGGATGTTGACTTTGAAGTGGCATTATTGCCAGCAGAAACTCCATTTCAGACGAGCAGACATGAAGATAACCGCAGCGCTGCAAAGGGAACGAACAAACAGCCATATTCACAGCCGGAGAGAGGGCAGGAAAAATATATATCACGGCCCTTGGTATCTGTAATGGGCAACTAACTTGTGTGAGCTTCTACGCACCTTGACAAAAATACTTTTGATGAGCTCCAATTCAAACTTTGAGTATTGTTGCAACCCTTCAATTAAATACTTCTAAAAGCCGTTTGTTTAGCTTATCCAATATTTACAGGAACTAATATTTGTTGTTAAACACCTGTAGGCATTAGACACGGCGAGACACGGTGCTTGCGTTTGAACACCCCAAAATATCACGAATTTTCCATCCTAAATATTTCGATAGAGTGGCCACCTCCTTGCCTTTTTATTTTATTCCCGATATGAGAAATTTATAGAGACACGTTCGACAACGTAACGTACGCTGCGGTAAAGCGAGACGTTTTACTGGCGTCACGTAATGGCGGACCGACGGGGCTAGGCGGGCAAGCGACACGGGGCGGTGACGGCCGCCATCACTTTGCTTCTCTATACCACTCCATCCCACACCCTCGGTAAAGATAGCCGCCAGCCCTTCTCCTACTACTGACCCCCGGGATCCCACCGGGGGACTTATTTTATGCGGCAAATATGGGCTATGGGCTCGTGTGGGTAAGAAAGACACCAACAAAACTCACAAGGGTCACTTTTTTACAGCAGTGTACTTAATCAGCAGCTGTGACTTATATCTTTGGAATGAAACGTTATCTTTGAGGTGGTTTCCGAATATGGTATCTGAAAAGGGTTGACAAGGGTGGCGGGAGCATTTACAATCACAACCAGCCGGCATTTGTCGTCAGCAAACCTCTCCACCTTACGGGTGAATGCGTTCTCCATCTCCAACCTTTCCATCTCCCATTCCTGTGCAAAAGACAAAACCGAACACCGCAGCACAAAAGCTTCCAAAGATGGAACGAATTAGAGCGCAGGCAAACCTATTCTGCCACTTATCGCAGCTGAGCCGACATTCAATTATATCATCACTAGCGGAGCAGAGAGGAGGAGAGAAAGAGAGAAGGGGCAAGATGCGGGGGAATAGGGTGGGGCGCAAGTAGTGGGGGAAAGGGGGCGGAGAGGTTATTGTGTTACTGACAGCCAGTCTGCAGCCAGTCTTCATGGAGCCCTTATCTGGCCTACACAGCCCAATACACTGTTTGTTCTTACTTTATTTCATACAAAAGACGCGCTGCGGACTCGGGCTTCAATATAATCTAATAACAATAATGTGTATAAAAGATAAAAAAGGAAAGCCCAATTAACATACCCGTCCGGCTGATGAGGATGTTCCCTGCTAACGCGACAACAACATAGTTCATTTAAGTCGCGCCTGGCCGGGAGAGCAGGTGGGCCGGATGAGGCGGAGGGGAAGGGCGAAAGAAAACTTGTTCGATGAACTTCTCCCCGGCCCGGCCCGACCCGACCCCTGGTCCGGGCGGCCTAGGGAAGCAAGAGCGCGCGGCTCTCCTTTCCTCTCACGATGCAAGGCCAGCGCCACTTTTTCATCCTTAGCCCCTCACGCCGCGCCACGCCCGGCTACTCCAGTTTCCGGACCAACTTTCTCGTGCCGTCGTCCAGAAACAGGGGGGGGGGAGGCGAGGCGGTGGCAGGGTCGCCGGAAGGGCGCTGTAAACCGGACGTGCGAGAGGAAGCGAGCATGAGGGGGGAGGGAGGTGGGTTCTTAGCACTTGATGTTGCATTTGGGCGAGGCCTGCGTGCACCCCTGTAGCCCCTTACCGGCCACGGGGCAGAAAAGCGCCTGTTGGGTAGGCACACCCGCGGCGTGCAGCAGCTCGACGGGCCGGCCTACCTCCCAGGCGCTCTCCCAAGTCCGAGGACGGACGCGCCGATGCCGATACAATGACGGACCGAGCCAGGAAAGAGGGACGACACAGAAACTGAGGCGACCCGGTCCACAGCAGGCGCCCGGCGTCCCGTGGGAAATCCCAACCGATTCTCCAAAGTCCGACTGCTTTTTTTTAGGCTCCGGGAGAAGCCTACTGCACACGCGTTTGCCGAGGCCTTTTGTCCGCACATTGTCGCTCCTCCTCTTTTACATCCATTAATAAAATGGTACCTCCTAGATCTTTCCCAGCCATTCAAAAAAAGATTGTGGCCCAGCAGATCATGGACAAATTATTTTCTGGAACGAAATTGTACAGTAGTTTTAACTTTAGGAAGTTTAATTGCGATTGTTAAAACTGGCATAAGGAATTGCTTGCGTGAAAACTCGGTACGTTAAACGCGTTAGCGTATTTTATTTTCCTTATTTCCTTTCCCTTCTTCCTCTTGGCTCTCACTCGACGCGTCACCTGAACCAGGTGCGCCGCGCCGTCCATGTCCCAGAAGAGGGAAGAGCGGGAAGTGCGCTGTGCCTTGGACCGCGTCCAAACGGGAACACACAAACAGGCGCGCGAGCTGCTCGACACTAGCAGGGAACACAAAGGAAAGGTGAGACTCGGCACTCTTCACGGACTGTTGAAGTTAATAATTTTAATGCTTCTGTGTGGAGCAAAGTTAAGAATAGCGCCCATTTTTCTTATTTTAGCACTAAATTTTGCAGCACGTTTAGGGAACGCTACATATAAAGTGCGTTAAAACAACTATTCCAAAAAGAAGTCAGCACAACAATATGTGCTGCGTAAAAGTTTTCATTGCACGCCACGTATCACTAAAAACAATCCTATGTCCTACATTTGTTATTACTACAGTACTCACATAGCAAGACACCCCCACAAACAAGCGCAGTGGCCGTTCGCCCTGGAGCCAGTATCCATACCGGACAGCGCCAGGTCCACGTGCCGTACCAACCCCGCCGCAGGCGCGGCATGGCGAGGCCTGGCGTGGTGTGACCGGGGCCAGCGTGCGACGGCAATGGTCGCCCAATCAGCCTGCGGCTGGTGTAAACGCACAGGATGGGACACCAGGCAAACAATAATGTGCGCAGACGAGAGGGCGGTCGTATGCATACTCCGCAAAGTAAAGGAGAGGATGCGACAAAATGATGTTCCCAATCCCAACACACGTAGGCACATATTTTGGCCGTTGCGAAACGAAGGGCACTGTACGTGTTCTTTTTATTATACAGGACCAAAAGTCGGATAATAATCTTGCGTGGCAAAACAAATTCTCTTGAAAATACAGATGTGAAGACCGTGTGCGCGACCCCCAAAGCAGTTGGAATGCCACCCTCGGACACTCCGTTGACACGCTCGGTTTATCACTTTTCGCTGAGCAGCAGCTTTCTTGTGATATAATGAGGACGAGGGTTCAAATCCCTCCAGTCGCGGCGGGAGAGAGCGGGAGAGCGAGAGAGCGAGAGAGCGAGAGAGCGAGAGAGCGAGAGAGAGAGAGAGAGAGAGAGAGAGAGAGAGAATTTTAATCCTGCGTGGTACCTCCCTAGCTGCTCGACCACAGACATGGTGGGGGCGGGGGTTGCTAGCATGGCAGCGTGGCGCGGCAGGGACAGAAAAGAACCGCAGCAACCTCTCCCAGGGGGCCGGGGACCACTTGGGGCCGAGACGGACTCTGTAGGGCCTTTTTATTTCTTCTTCCTGCCTTCCTTTTTTTCTTCCTAACCTTTTCCCTCATTTTATTCCTTCGACTTTCCTTCCTCCCCGGCCAGGTGGGCCGTGTTGCTGGTGGTTTCGGTATCGCCAAGCGGCGGCAGCGAGCCTCGCAAGCGAGCGTTGAGGGTTTGGGGGCCGGAGCGCTCGGCCCAGCGGATGTACTGAGCCCTACAAGCCCTGCAGCCGCTCCCTCCCCGGGGGACGACAAAAGCAACATCAAACGTAGATATGCACACCAGAGCCACACCTACCTACTTCCGGCTCCAAGGCTCTAGGGACGCCACGAAAGACACACAACGTCAGAAACGTCGTTAAGATTCAATTTCGCGACGTCAAAACGCATACCAAAAGATGACACAGCAACAAAATAATA